ATGCTATCACAGTGAATGCGAGGCTGAGACTGAAGCGTTACCCTTTGTTTCCGCTGAGAGACGTGCCGCGTGACTCATTTCCCCACACGTACAAGTTATCTTACTGTAGGTCGGCGCTCACGGTTTGACTTCTGAGATTCAGATCGAGTTCTAGGTAATTTTTTTTCGAACTGGTTGGTTCGACTTTTAAGAAATTCGAGTTCTAATGAGTTTGAGAACTGAGGTACCACTGTACATGTATATATAAATTAATTTTAAGTCCTGGTTTAATCCTGGTCCTGCTGGGAGAAAGCTAAACAGCAGGTTGCTTTCAGGCTTGAAATTTCTAACAAAGCAGTAAACTGTTACGTCCAGCTCGTCCGATCCTCGTGTGTGCCACGCCCCCCTCATTACCTTGTGTGGCTACCCGATTGTCATCACCTGTTCCTTGTTCTTTCCTACCCGCCTGGTGTATTTAGTCGGCGTCTGTACTTGTATTCCCGAGTTCTGTCATTGACGTTGTCCGACGTAGTGCCTGGTCCTGACCCTGTCTGCCCGTCTGTACTCAATAAACCCTGTTTGCCTGTCAGTCCGGCTCAGCTTGCCTGCTTTCCGGCTCGCCTGTACCGCGTCCGTAACATAAACAAGAACGACTTCAAACCTGAGACACTGGGAACAACCAAAATCCTGCCAGAAATGAGTGAAACTTAAAATTTTACTGTGGTCACTTAATTTTTTTCCAGAGCTTTTTGTGTTCACATGTTGGTGCGTGTGTGTGTGTGTGTAGATATACAGTTAGGTTAATTGCCCATGGGCTCCTCAGAAGTTTGTATTGGGTAGCAAGTTGGATGATGGATATGTATGCATATTTGTATTATTTATATATATTTATTGATTTCATTAGATAAACCAGGTACACCTGAAGGACCAATAATTGTTGAAGCCCTGCTAAAGAACTCTGTGATCATTAGCTGGAAACCACCTGCAGATGATGGTGGGGCAATGATTACAAACTACATTGTGGAGAAGTGTGAAGATACCTCTAGTGAAGAGTGGAATCTTGTGTCATCATCAGTCTCTGGAACATCTTGTCGAATTCCAAATCTCAATGAAGGTGCCGGATATTACTTTCGTGTTTCTGCTCAAAACCAATATGGAGTGAGTGATCCATTACAGATTCCTTCTGTGGTCATTATTAAAAGTCAGTTAGGTAAGTACAATCATACCACATGGTTATGGAAAGTGATATGTATCTATTATAAACCTGAGGATAACTTTTTTTGAGGATCATTTTTGATCATTTTGTTTTAACAGAGAAACCTGGAAATCCCCAAAATCTGGTTGTTAGTGGAGTGACAAAGGATTCTTGTATTGTGTCTTGGATACCACCGCTGAATGATGGAGGTTCTAAAATAAAAAATTATTGCCTGGAAAAATGTGAAAAAGAGAATGAATGGATCTCAGTAACTACAGATGAAATCCATCAAACAGTATACACTGTAAATGGGCTTGTTGAAAACTCAGAATACAAATTCCGTGTTAAATGTGACAGTCTATGGGGAGAAAGTGACTATAGTGAAGTGTCTGCCCGTGTTGTTCCAAAATCAGATGTAGCTATTCACACACCTGCCTTTAAGGAGGAATTAAGAAACATGAGTGTTAAATACAAGAGCAATGCAACTTTTGTTTGCAAGATCAGTGGACAGCCTAAACCTGTTGTCAAATGGTACAAGCGTGGCAAAGAAATTCAGCCTGATGGACAAAAAATTAAAGTCCAGGAACGCAAAGGTGGTTATTATCAGCTTGTCATATCTGCTGCTGATGAGGAGGATTCCACTGTCTATCAAGTCAGAGCCACAAACCAAGGAGGCTCAATTTCTGCAAATGTTTCACTTGATGTTGAAAGTAAGTAATTCATAAATATGTGTAGTTTTCTTCCAACATTTTTTTTTGTGCTGCAGTAATTGATAAATTTATCTTGCTTTTCTCCATAGTTCCTGCAAAGATTCACTTGCCCAAGCATATACAAAACAAAGAATCTATTCCTGCCCTTCGTGGTGAAGTCATTAGTATCAAGATTCCATTCAGTGGCAAACCTGACCCAGTAATAACATGGCAAAAGGGACAAGACCTCATTGATAGCAATGGGAACTATCAAGTTATTGTAACGCGATCTTTTACTTCACTAATATTCCCCAATGGAGTTGAGAGGAAGGATGCCGGTTTCTATGTTGTTTGCGCAAAGAACAGATTTGGCATTGATCAACAGACAGTGGAACTTTATGTTGCAGATGTACCTGATCCACCAAGAGGTCTCAAAGTCAGTGATGTGTCTAGGGATTCTGTCACTCTGAATTGGTGTGCCCCCGCTAATGATGGAGGAAGTAAAGTCACTAACTATATAGTGGAAAAATGCGCTACCACAGCTGAGAGATGGATTCGTGTAGCACAAGCTCGTGACACTCATTATACAGTTGTTAACCTGTTTGGAAAAACAAGTTACCAATTCCGCGTCATTTCAGAAAATAAATTTGGCCAAAGTGAGCCATCTGAACCAACTGATCCAGTTGTAACAAAAGAAGATAAGTCAAGAGCACTGAGCTATGATGAGGAAGTTGACGACACAGGAGAAGTCATAAAGCGTAAAGCACTACATTCAGAAACTGAAGTTCTGCATAATAAGTACATGATTGCAGAGGAACTAGGACGTGGGCACTTCAGTATTGTCCACCGATGTGTCGAAAACAGTACACAGAAGACATTCATGGCTAAATTTGTCAAAGTAAAAGGTGCAGATCAAGCACTGGTGAAGAAAGAAATTGCTACACTTAATGTAGCTCAACACAAGAATTTCCTGTGTCTTCATGAGTCCTTTGAAAGTCCAGAAGAATTAGTCATGATACATGACTTTACCTCAGGAATGGATATATTTGAACGTATTGGGGCAGCCAACTTTGAACTTTCAGAACGAGAAATAGTAACGTATGTCAGACAGTTATGTGAAGCTCTTGAGTTTCTACATAGTAAGAGCTATGGGCACTTTGACATTAAGCCTGAAAATATTGTCTACACCAAAAGTAGTAGCTCTAACATCAAGATAATTGAGATGGGCCAGGCTCAATACCTTACACCGGGGGAAACCATAAGGATCCAGTTTACTGCCCCAGAATATTGTGCACCAGAAATCCACCGGAATGAAATGGTTAGCACTGTAACTGATATGTGGTCAGTTGGTGTCCTAGTGTACATACTTCTTAGTGGACTTAATCCATTCATAGCAGATACTTATCAGCAAACAATTGAAAATATTTCAAATGCTGAATACATTTTTGATGAAGAGACTCTTAAGATATCCAGTCTTGAAGCATTAGATTTTGTGGACCGTCTTCTGACTAAGGAGCGTAAACATCGGATGACTGCTTCTGAAGCTTTGGAACATCCCTGGCTTCGAAAAAATATAGAAGAATACAATTCTAAAGCTATAAAGACAACAAGACACAAAAGATATTACCAGACCTTAGTGAAAAAGGAATGGAATGTTGTTATTTCAGCTGCTCGTGTTGCTAGAGGCGGCGCTTTAAGAAGTCAAAGAGGAGTCACAGTGAGCAAAGTTAAAGTTGCACCATATGAACATGGCCCACGAGCTGGTCAGATTAAGCATTCTGTTTCTGAAGAAGGCGGGCATGCAAAATTTGTCTGTCACATTGAGAACTATGACAGTAGCACAGAAGTGACTTGGTACTGTGGAGTTAGACAAATTGAGGAAAGTGAAAAATATAAAATTAGTTATGATGAAGGAGTAACTATCTTATCTATCGAAAATATTAGCAGAGCAGATGATGGGACATATAGGTGCAAAGTTATTAATGAATATGGTGAAGACAGTGCCTATGCAGAGCTATTTGTCAAAAATGTAAGATCTTATTCTGATTTCTTTTTTGCACGCACAGTAAAGAAAGCAAAACGTAGGGTGGATACAGAAAGACTGCTTCAGAGACCCCCTGAATTTACTTTACCTCTATACAATCGGGCTGCTTACGTTGGTGAGGATGTGCGTTTTGCAGTAACAATAACTGTGCATCCGGAGCCTCGGGTTACATGGTTAAAATCTGGGCAAAAGATTTTACCAGGGGATAATGACAGAAAATATACATTTATAAATGACAAAGGTCTGTATCAGCTCATAATTCACAATGTACAAACAGAGGATGATGGTGAATACACAGTTTTAGCCCGCAACAAATTTGGAGATGACAGTTGCAAGGCACGTCTTACTGTATCACCTCGCCCAGCACCATCAGATAATACACTACGGCCAATGTTCAAGCGCTTGCTAGCAAATGCAGAGTGCAAAGAGGGTCAAAGTATCCGCTTTGAAATGAGAGTCTCAGGGTCACCTTCGCTGAAGTGGGAGAAAGATGGAATGCAATTAGCATTTGGACCACAAGTTGAGGTTATTCATGAAGGGCTTGATTATTATGTTCTACATGTCAGAGATACACTTCCTGAAGATTCTGGTACCTATAGAGTCATTGCTACAAACTCCGCTGGATCTGCAAGTTGTCAAGCCGCATTAAAGGTACATCGTCTCACTCATGTCAAGAAAGAATATGATACTGAAGAACAGAAAAAGACATGTCCTGAGGAGAAAAAAATTGAGAAGAAGGTGAGACTGTTGCAAATTCTTTCTGGCAGTGAAGTTATTCCACTTACTCCAGTGGCACAAGAGGCTTTAAGAGAAGCATTAATTATGCATAAACCAGAAATATCAACAAAGAAAGACAGGATTGAAGCTGTTGATAAAAAGGAAAAAGAAGAAGGAAAGATGAGAGCAGAGGACAAGAGACTTCATATGCCATATGAAATTCCACAACCTCGTGTCCATGCTCCAACAACCCTGGAAGAAGACCTGGAAATCAAACATTTTGTGCCTTATTCAGACATGAAATGGTATAAGAAAATCCGGGATCAGTATGACATGCCTGAGAGAATGGAAAAACCTGTTCAGAAGAGGCTTAAACGCATTAGTTTATCAAAGTGGGAGCAGAACTATGTTGTGCCACTTCCAAGAATCAAGGATCAGTACAAGCCTAAATGGCGCATCCCTAAGTTTTCACAAGATGACTTGGAAACTGTAAGGCCAGGAAGATATCGTGCATCATCTCCAGAATCTGAAGTTTACTATAGGCAAAGAAGAAGGTCCCTCTGTGATCTCACAGATGAAGAGTTTCTTCTCCCTGTTCAAGACTATTTATCAATGAAAAAAACTGAAGAAGAAAGGCTTCGCTTTGAGGAGGAGCTCCAGCTTGGCTTCTCAGGTTCTACTTTCAGTTCTGTGGACTTTGAATTGTCTTCATTGCGTCAATTCCCATCAAAGAAAATGACATCTGAGGAGAAGAAAGTAGAAGATGTTGAAACGTATGACTCATATCATATTCCCTCTAAGTATGAAACTGGACCAAGCTATATTGATCTGCGCCAACGCCATGATAAGGTGACATATAGACCTCCAAGACAAAACCAAAGAGTGCTTGAAGACAAAGAAGATCAAGAACTTCTTCGTCCAATAGCTTCAATGCAGAGACATTGTGCTTACAAAAGTGAGATGAAGCGCATGCAGTTTGATGAGAAAATCCAATTGTCAAGAAAAGAAAAAAGTAAGGTTCACGTTTCACCATTAATTGAAGAAAAAATGGAAAAAAATGAATATCCATCTGCTTTGTTACCTTCCCCCTTTACACAAGTAATTAGTAGGTCTTTATTGCCTTCACATGGTGAATTAGTGCATCCCTTATCTGGAAATGTACAATCTGGCAGTACACTTCAAGCTAGAGAGGAAGAGAGTGAAACAATAGAAAGGATATCAAAGATTTCTGAGAGAACACGCACCAGTAGTCCGATTTTAGGTGAATTATTATTACCTGAGAAACATACAACAACTGACATAATGGCCACATATGCGGCAAAAAAGGCTGCTCTGAAATCTGAAAGAAAATATGAAGTTGTGACTCAGCAACCTTTCAGCCTTGACCATGCCCCACGCATAACTGTCAGAATGCATTCTCATCGTGTGCCTTGTGGCCAGAAAACCAAATTTACTCTAAATGTGCAAGCCAAACCAGAATCTGAAATTAAATGGTACCACAATGGAAAGCAGATTCAAGAGAGTAGCAAATTCTGTTTTACAAACATAAGTGGAGTTCTGTCTCTTGAGGTACTTGACTGCCAACAAGAGGACAGTGGCACCTATCGTGTTGTTTGCACAAACTACAAGGGAGAGGCCTCAGATTATGGCACTTTAGATGTTTCAAGAGGTGAATATTCTGCATATTCATCCCATTACAAAGATGAGGAATCTCTCCCAGCTGTTGTTCCTGAAATTACCAAGACTGATTTTTACCATTTGTCCTCTGTTAAACCAGTTTCTGCATCTGAAACCCTTATAGTGTTGAAGGAAACTAAATTAGAGCTGAGTGAAATGCATCCAGTAAGTTCATGTGAAGAATATGCTTCAACTGAAAAGAAAACTACAGCACTAGAGAAAATAACTCCACAAGAGAAGGTGAAAACAATTCTGCCAGCTAGAATACTTAAAAAACCTCAATCATTAATGGTACAAGAGGGACAGTTTGTTGAATTTATTTGCGATGTAGATGGCGATCCATCACCAAGTGTTACCTGGAGGCGTGCAGGTCAAGAAATTGTCTCATCTAACCGTTACCACATCATCACATCACAGTACAAGTCAGCTTTTGAAATAATGAAAGTACAGTTATCTGATGAAGGCAACTACACAGTAGTTGTAGAGAATTCGGATGGCCATGAAGAGGTGGAATTTACACTAACAATTTGCATGTCAACTGATGAAGAGAAAATAGCAGTTTCTCCATCCAAGTCACCAGTGTCAGCCAGCACCAAAGAGCATGTCGAGTCATCTGCAGACACAAAAACAAGGACTAAGTCTTCAGAATCTGAGATGAAACCTTTAGACATTTCAGATGCTTCATCCCCAGATTCTTATAAGTCACCTGAAGAATCATCTGTTGTAAAAACACCTCCTGAACCATCTTTATCTCCAGTGAAGGTTCAGTTCCCACCAGAAGAAGAATCTCAAGAAGTGCAAAAGCCTCCAAAGATTGTAAATCAGCTTAATGCAAAGGCTTCTGAGGACAAAATAATTATGTATTGTGTTGTTGAAGGTTCTACAGACACAGTAATATGGTACAAAGATGGAATTAACCTGACACAGGATAGGCACTACTATTTCCATACTTCTACTGATGGCCTTTGCAGTATGAATATCAGTGATATTACTGAGAGTGACCAAGGAGAATATACTTGTGAAATTATTTCTGAAGGAGGGGTGTCCAAAACATCATTTTCATTTGTTGGCCAAGTGTTTCAAAATATATTGAAAAAAATCTCAACATTTCTGGAGGAAAATAAATGTTTAGATGAAAAGGAAACAGACATCTCCATAACAAAGCCAACCTCAGGAAGTCTCGCAGCCAATAAAGAATCGCAAATAGAAACTCAGAAAGAGGCTCCTTCAGAGTCTCATATACTGAAGAAGGTGACAGAGCAAATAAAACCAGAGATTTTTCATGAAGAAGTTCAATCTCACACAGAAATTAAAGTAACTCATAGCCAGGTAACAGCGTTTGAGGGTCAGTCCCTTATTCTGAAAGCAGAAATCCCTGGAGTATTTTGTGTAAAATGGCTCCTTAATGGAAACGAGTTGGTTAATTCAGAAGATTATACATATGGGATGTCTGAGAATGATCAAACTTTGACCATCAAGAATATCAGTCAGCATGAAGAGGGAACAATCACATGTGAAGCTAAAACTGAAAGTGGAATTGTAAAATGTCACTTTCATACAACCCTTTCTGCAAAACCTGAAGGACGACCTTCATTTTGTATTCTACCAAAGTCTCAGAATGTCAAAGAAGGACAAAATGTGATTTTCACATGTGAATTACATGAAGGTTCCCCTGTAGAAATTGAATGGCTTAAGGACAATGTTGAGGTAGGTAGCAAACTTTACTGAAAATGCATTTTTACCTGGGGTAAAAAACTTTCAAAAATAACTCATAATGGTTCTTTTTCAGGTATTGTGGACATCCAACCTAAAAGAGAGTCATTCTAAAAATATATATACACTAGAGATTAAAGAGGCGTCTACTGGAGACAGTGGGAAATATACAATAAAAGCAAAGAATATTCATGGACAATGTTCAGCTACTGCATCATTAAATGTACTTGGTAAGGTTTTTCTTGATGAATTCCTTGACTATGCTCATAATGACTAAACTCATAGGGTTTGTATAGGGGATAAAATGCCAAAATACAATGTTGTGGAAAAGTATTGAGCAGAGTTAGCATGAAATTATTGGGAGTACTTTATTGTAATGGAGAGTAAGGATAGATTAACAACTGCAAATGATGGGCATTTGGGAGAAAGTTAGAAGTAAAGGAAATCCTATAAGACAGAGCCGAAGTTTTGCCAAAAGGGCCTAGATGAATAACATTATGTTTCTTAATTAGAACAAATAAATGAATTAGTATCAAAATAGAAAAGAAAAATTATCAGTCCATAATCTGCCATCCGTCTATCTTCCAACTGCTTAACCTGATCAGGATCACAGGAAAACATTATGCCGTACTGTTTATTTTATCCTTGACTAACACAGAACAGACAGAATGAGTTATGGATTGGCATGTACATGTTGTTAGACATGCTACATCATAACAAGAAGATATTTGCAAGTAGACTGACTATCCATTTAAATCATTCTTTTGGGTTCACCTGTTTTTTATGTATTTTTACAGCGCTGACTGAAGAACCTGATAAAAGTGTACTTTTAGAAAAAGATGAATTGGCTGCTAGTATGCTTGGACGTTTCTCCGCGAAGGAAGTCCACATGGCTGCCTCCATGCAGGAGACCTCCTTCAGAAGCACTAGCTTAACCGAAATGAAATTTGCAAGTGCGTCTGCGTACAGCACGCAGTCTTTGACAGCGGAAATAGCATTGAGCTCTAGCAGTATAATGGAAATGTCAAGCCATTTACAAATAGAGGGGTCCTCTAAAGGAGCCATTACCCAAGGTAAGATTAACAACCTATAACCTTCCTACAATACTAGTCTTCCCAAATAAATGTTAAGACTAACTTTTATCATTGCAACAGGTTTACCACCAAAAATCAAAACACTTCCTGAAGAGATCTGCATTGAGAAGGGAAAGATTCTTACTGTAGCCTGTGTTTTCTCTGGAGAACCCCTGCCTGAGATTGAGTGGACACATTCAGGGATTACATTACCCTCTACAGAGGAAAGTGACAGGCTCAATATTGAGACCACTGAGGATCTCACCACCCTCATCATCACTAGTGTGAAAGAAAATGATGCTGGATCTTACACCCTTAAACTATCCAATGAGTTTGGCTCTGACACTGCAACAGTAAATGTCATTATTTGCTAATACACACAGACGCACGCACACACACACACACACACACAATCATTCAAATATCGGAGTATCCTTAAAATTGACTTAAGCTGTAGTTATTATAAAATGTGCCATACTGAAGAACTGCCAGAATTTTGTGCATCATTTGCAATATGTACATAATGTATATAGCTGGATTTGTCAGTTATGAGAAATGTAAGCAGCGTCAATGAATCTAATGAAACCAATTGTTGACCAGGAGTTTTGTGTGTGTGTGTGTGTCTTATATATCTTATATACACACATATACATGAAATGCATATCCTGGAAAGCGATAGAACATTCAAAACTAAATAATGTGCCTCAACAATAAGTTGAAGTTTTAATTTTGCCTCAACAGGTACAGAGGCTCCCTGTTGAAGTTTTTTGGTCAGCTCCTTGACACAATGTTATACATTGTATGACTGCAATATTAGTATTAGAAATGTTACATGTGCATAAGACCCTGAGTGCTGTTTGCATTTTACCCTCATGTAAGCTGCACAACTGGGCCTTGTGTTCAGACTGACTGTGTCAAACCACCATTTCTTGTGACATGCTCAAAGTGTGAGCGGCCTGCACTTTGTGTGTTATAGAATATGATGAATATAATTTCTGTCAATGGTCTGTTTCAATTAATTTACTAAAAACAACATCTGGCCATAAGACTTGTGGAATCAGTGTTTCCTCTTAAAGGACTGTTGGTTAGTTTTATGTGCATGTATATCTGTTTTTGTATGTTAGTATTAGTGTTAAAGTTTTAAGTAGTGAAGGCATTCATTAAAGAATTGTGCCACAGCAATGTCATCTGCTGTGTTAAACTCTGAAATTTCAATGATGTCTGTGCTTTGATTTTATCAAACAGAATGATTAGAAATAGCAGTAATTACCAATGTTTTGGGTTTTAACAATTGTAACTTCAATAAAGCACGATTTCAGCACCTCTGTTATGTTGAAGATATTGTTCCATATTTCAAAGTGTAATGAAGTAATTCATGGTTAACACACTTAACCCACATTATATCAGATTAAATATTATTTTGTGGCTATCCGTGGTATACTCATTGTTTAGCCAAATGATTTATTATCAGAATATAACCACTGTGATTAGTGATTATAATGGTGAGATACAGTTATTCATTCAATTTTGCAAGAACAATAACAGCAATGTTACATTGAACCAGTCTTCGAGCACTTTTTGTCCCACTTCATTCAATTTCGCTTATTGGTGTAGAGTATCCGGTGCTTATTGGCCATATTTTATTTTATAAGTTTAACCTGGCACTTTGATCTCACACATACAGTACAGTGCACTTTTCCTCAGTTTGGACAGTTAAATGTGTTTAAATGGCAACAGAACTCCGTAACGTATGTTATTCCGTAAAAGGCAGTAGCACTCTATACTGTTTTTTTTTTCCTCTTCCAAACTATATTAAGAGGATTAGCTGCAAGTCTGTGCTGGAACAGGTATCTGAGGGTCAGCATTGACTGAAAGGAAGCTGGCAGCAGATACAAAATTTGCAGATGTTGGCCTCATATGAACACAAGAAGTATAACAGCACTGGAATGCTTGGTCTTACCATTTTAGAAACCTACTGAGTTCAACCAAAAACAAACAATTTATATGTTTTTTTAGTATTAGTATAGATTATTACAAATAAACAAATATACTACTGAAATGTTCATGATGCTCTTTATTGTCAAACTACACATGCATTTAGATTAATAATCTGTCTTGCAGGACAATAGAAGTCTGCTGAAAAAAAAGTAAATTAAATAAAAATAGCTTTGATTTTCCTCCCTTTTCTTTACCTGTGAAATTTATGACACACTGATACACACATTTCAAATGAGTGACTTGCCCCCCTTTTTTGCTTGGTGTCTCCACAGTCACTTTTTGAATATTCATTTAAAATATCTACTCCCAGAAATGCCTTCAGGAAATCTAAGATGCTAAAACTGTGTGAAGAAAATATATTATTCTGTTCCAAGTAAGTGTCAAAAAAATATTGACCTCATGTCAGAAATTCAAGGGTAATTCATTATGTAATGAAAAAGCCTTTTTTTTAAGTTTTAATACAATATAAAAATATAACTCTTTATCACAAAATAACTTGGTGTTCCTATTTGGCAACATCTCACAGTCTTACATCTTACAGTCTAAAATTATGCATATCATTTGAACATTTATGTTCATGGACTTATTCTTTAAAGTAATGATCATGATCATTTCAGTATGCGAATAGCTTGTTTTTCTTTGCTTTGTGAATATATTGGAACCATACTTTGATGAAATACAGGCAGCTAATTGCCTTTAATATTAAATGCTTTTTTAAAATTCCATTAGTTTTGTTTGAAAATGAAATCATGAGAAAAATAAAAAAGTGAAGTGATTTGCTAATCATCTGGCTGTTTTCCATTTCACAAATCCTACCCCCACAAGAGACCCACCAACAGCCCATACCTCGTTTGAGCACTGTACAGTGCCTGCATTGATGAACAATACACAAGGGGTGGCAAACAGCTGTGCCAACACTAAGTTTTAAATTGGCTGCTTTATTAGACTCATATTGGGATTATTTGGAAATCTTTACTGTTCTATAAAACTTGCACACAATGGTGGTGATATTGCTGCTCATAAATATTTTCTAATGCTGTACTTCCACTTCAAACCTTTTTTCTAAAAAAAGGAATTGTATCACACTGCTAAAAATTTGAAATTATAATTTTCTGTGCAGTTTACTCTTATTTTTTTATTCATGTTTCTTGGAAAAGAAAAATAAGTAAATGAGTTCTATTCAAGAAGTCTGAGCATGACTACAGCATACCTGAGGTACAGAGCAGGACCCAACATGAATCTATTTTGCCTCTGCCAACCAACTCAACCTCAGTTCTTCCATAAATTATTAGACACAACCTTGTAGCTATTGTACCATGTGAGTATTTCTTTGTTACTTTAATTACTTTTATGAAGCATAAGGGGAAAAATCAAGTTAAATCATTACATCAGAATGTAATGATTTTTAAATTGTATAATAAGTATTCAGTTTTTTTCCACATTGTGCATCAATATATTAGTGTTTCTGATTCTGAAACTGCCTCTCCTATAAATATAGGAAGCTTCAACAATATCCATGCATTATTGTGACATTTTTAGTCCAACGTGGTTTTAAATTTTCATGAACTGGAAACTGGGAGCATTTAAAAAAATAAAATAAAGAACTTTCAAGGCACAGGGAATGTAATAGTACAAAAAAACGTCTTTACAATACACCAAATGATATTTCAAAGGCCATTCAGTAATTGATCAAATTAGAGTAATCAAAGGAAGACATTATAATAGTTTTCCTTACTCTCCATTATCCATTATCATAAGAGTCCTCGTCGCTTATGGTTTCCTTGTGATACAGTAGGAATGTCAAGGAGCTAGTCCATACTTGATCTTTAATGGCTGGAGTCCAGGCAGCATGTTCTATCAAAGTCTCTTTCTGTATTATGGGTGGTACAGTTCAAGTTCAGTGTTTGTCACCATCCCGAATCCTCCTGAAGGACATTCACATGTTTCATATTTCTTTCAAAACATGCATTTCCTTCAACTTCTTCATCATTTTTTTTGTTTTGTCTACATTGCTGCAAGCATTTTAAACAATACAATTTATGGTCACCACAACTATGGAGTATAAGTTCAAGGAACACTTTCGTAAATACTAAATGCCTCTCCACCACCACAGTGAACCATATGAATCAGATCTGTGTTTTCTATATTTTTTCTGTAAAATTTGTATTCAACAGGACTTAGAACATCTTGTGGGTGGCAGGAAAACATAGAATTGGCACTAAATTATTCTGATGTATGCTCATAATGTTTCTGCACTCCCTGTGGCCACACTCTCTGATGATCAAATTTTTTGGCCTGCTGAGAGGACAGCTTAACATAGCCAGCCATTTCCCTCCCTTAAGCAGAAACACAACTGATCCTTACAGTTCTGGCTGCAGTCACAGTTGACTTGGCTGAGGGCCCCAGCATTTTATGGGCAGGGCTGGAGAAGAACAGCTGCCTTCCTTCTCTGCTGGGTCTCCAAAGATTTGCTTTGTTTTGTAAAGTAAATCACCTGCTTCTTGTAGTACCTTGATAACATGGTAAACTGCTGTTTCCTCTTATAGGCTGCAAACTTTTTGCTGTAACCAGTGCCATATTATGATAGTTCATCTAATGCTATAGATATAAACCTCAGCTATTTCCTTTGGTAATGTTGTAAATGAATGGTGAATCAGTTACAAAATGGTGACCTAATGTTAGTGTGTGGACAAGAGTAGTGGTGTAATTTATGACTTACCAAGTTATTTGGTAGTTTTCTTTAGGAAAGAAACTGCAGAAAATGAACGAAATGTATTTTTAAGCCACAGAAGAGTAGTTTAAGACCTTGCCTTAATAATTCTATAAAACAATAGTGACCATTTTATTTTGTTTAAATTGTGTTCTCCCTGTTTTTGAAGTGGTTTTCTTCGGCAGTCCAAAAACACATGGTCGCATTTGGTGTTGCTAAATTGGCCAAAGTGTGTGACTGTTAGCGTCCTCTCCAGAGTATTCCTGCCTTACGCCCCATGCTTGGTATGCTCAAGGCTCATTGTCATCCTGTCCTGGGAAAATAATTACAATTATGAAAAATTTCATTGGATGGATAGATATTTGGCCTTAAAATTTCTCTCAAGGTGCCATTCATGTGTTATTCATACATGCCCAATAGCTGATAGATCAAAGACAGAAAATGAGGTAAGATTTGGATAGAAACCAAATGTGTGTGCCTGTGTATATTATATATTTTGCCTTCAGGTGTGATTATGGTGCACATTCGTCAATGCATTGCTTCCACGTGCTAATGCAATATCTCAGCATTTTTTCATCCAGATTTGCATTCATTTCTCATCAAGAGAAATGAATCTTGTATTGATGATAGGTGGGTTGAACCACTCCGTAAAATCTTCAGTGCATCTCAAAGACTATTATGGGGTTAAGGCCCAATGAATCTTGGCATTATCAGCCTGGAATATGCCCATGTCATTAGAAAAGAAAAAATCCATTGCTGGGATAACCTGGCCATTCAGTAGATTCAGGTACTCAGCTGACATCACTTTATTGCTGCATAATGTCGGTGAACCGTAATGATCCAACTATTGGGTCTGAAGTACTATATATATAAGGCCTTGTCTGCTCTTCTGCTTTGAAACATTAGAACTGCAGCGCATCTTGAAAAGGATAGATAGATAGATAGATAGATAGATAGATAGATAGATAGATAGGTAGATAGATAGATCGTAAAAATGGTTGGTATATACAGATAAATCCTAGCAAAGTATTGTACTATTTCACCAAAAATGACTCACATAAAAATATTTCCAGTTCTTGTTACTTCCAATGTTCTTGTGGTCATACTTTGCAAACTACTTAAGTTGAAACAACGCAATACTATTTTTAATCTTTAGAATTGTCTGTTGTAGTCATTGTTTTCCTCTACCATAAAACTGAAGCAAGCACTGAAAGTTACAGATGTGTGCGAGTGGATTGTTGTTATTAAAGCACTCGCACAAAAGGAGGAGGAAGCACTGCTGCCAGCATTCTTGCTTAAAGCTGCAACTCAGAAAAAAGGATGGGCTGGGTCTCATTGCTTCTACAAGGGACAGGATTACACACTGACTTCATGGTGCAGTGAACAACTCCTCTCCCTCCTTTCTCCCCCTCTTTGGACAGAGGAGAAGCTCATGTCTTACAGACATGAAGAGCTTTGTGCATGACAGGGTTTATCTATTTATCGCTGTTTCTGTATTTCAAGTTATACTTGTAACATGCCAGGATCCAATTAGTGGTAAGCGACTTGTTTTGTGTGGTTTCTTCTATATTATATACAGCATGCATGTATTTAATATATATCATGTTTTCCTACAGGTAATATGCAAATTTTATATGATGTAATCTATTTGGCAGTAGAGACATTTGTTTTCAACAGTTTCGTAGTTCAGGCTGCCTGTTAAAGGTTTAAAGTTTTTGTTTTCAGCTGTGATTATTGGCTTTGCAAGTGAAATCATAGCACAAAGCAAACATGATTTGGCCATGTTTTTCTTGTGGAAGGGTTTTGCACAGATTAGACAATTTATGATTTACACTTCAAATTTCATCATTGGAATGTTCTGTTACAATGCATGTGGCATTATGCACAACTATAACAGGATTGCACTGTTAAAATGAAGTGGGGAAATACCTCAATGTAGCTGAGTATACATTTGCATCTATATCTGTCAGTGACTACAGGTTTTAAAACTTCAGCATGACATTGTTTTATTGCTTGCAGGTTGAGTAGATTTTCTGGTCATGATCTTTATGAACTCCAGTTATCCTCAACCTAAAGAATCATTGACATCTGCAGAGTCTGTTTCAAAACTATCCTTTGTTGAAGCACAGCTTGCATTTTATGAATGGCAGATGTGTGGGGAGAGAATGAATGCACCGATAGGTCTTTGGCATAGAGGCTGAGGACTCACTCTTTTAGCACATGAGCATTGTGGATGCCCAGTTTGGCAACCGGGAAAGCATGGAAATAAAGGAGACCATGACCTGAGGTGCCATACATGTGGCATGTCTATACCTTATGCATGTCCTATGTATTATTATTATAATTTTGGTGTGGTCACATGAGTTATTATGCAGACTTTTAAATTAATGGCAAATTATAATTCAGAGCATAGATGCACATATAGTGGATATAGAAAATGTACACACCCCTGCTGAAATGCCAGGTATTTGTGAAAATGACATTATGACCCACAGTCAATGTATAACATGTACAATTCAATTAAAAAACAAACAAATATTTTAGGAGGACATTTGATTTAATTACAGAATTCAGTCTTTTTGGGTAGGAGTCTATCAGCATGACACATCTTGACTTGGCAATATTTGCCCACCCTTCCTTGCAAAAGTGCTCAAAATCTGTCAGATTGCGAGGGCATTTCTTGTAAACGGCCCTCTTCAGGTCACCCCACAGACTTTCATTTGGATTTAGGTCTGGGTTCTGGCTGGGGCCATTCCAAAACTTAATTTTTCTTCTGGTGAAGCCATCCTTTTGTTGATTTGGATGTATGCTTGGGGTCATTGTTGTGTTGAAAGGTGAAATTCCACTTCATCTTCAGCTTTCTACCAGGGACCTGAAGTTTTTGGGCCAAAACTGACTGGCATTTGGACATATTCATAATTCCCTCCACATTGAAGCCCCAGTTCCAGCTCAATAAAAACACACCTAAGCATGATGCTGCCATCACCATGCTTCGCCGTGGGTATGGTGTTCTTTTGGTGATGCTGAGTTCATGAAGCCATAACACATTTTCCCACATGCATTTGGGAGACTTTATGTTTTTTTTTTTTTGCTAAGTTAGGCCAGAACTGAATGTTTTTCTTTGCAAGAAAAAGCTTGCGTCAGTCTTGCGACCCTACCTCATAGTCCAGACTTATGGAGAATATGTCAAACGAGGTACACAACTAGTACTTGGCAGAAATCCCTGCAGCTCCTCCAGTGTTGCTGTAGGCCTCTTGGCTGCCTCCCTGACTGGTTTTCATCTTGTCTTGTCATCAGTTTTGGAGGGACGTCCAGTTCTCAGTAACGTCACTGCTGTCCCATACTTTCTCCACTTTTTGATGACTGTCTTCATGGTGTTCCATGGTTTATCTAATGCACCCTTCTCCTGACTGATACCTTTCAACAATGAGATCCCTTTGATGCTTTGTACGCTCGCTGAGAACCATGACTTTTGCTGTAGGATGCAACTGAGTTAATGTCAGGAAAATCTTACTAGGACAGTTGAACTTTATTTGGGGTGAATCAGAGTCACTTTAATTGATGGCAGGTTTGTACCCAAAAAGACTGAATGCTGTAATTAAATGAAAAGGTGCTTCAGCAAAGTATTCGTTTAAGGGTGTGCACACTGATGCAACCAGCTTATTGTACATTTTATATTTTTCCCCTTAACAGATCTATTTGTGTTCAGTTGAATTGTAGTGGCAGCATGCACAGGCTGAGTGGTGGCTCTGAGGCTTATGATCTGTTCCAGCAATTGGAAAGTTGCTGGTTCAAATCTTGTGAATGCCAGGAGTGATGCTACACTGTTGGGCCCTTGAGCAAGGCCCTTAACCTGTAATTGCTTTGTCCTGCATTATTCTACATCCAGCCCTGTAAGGTCTTCCAACTTACTGGGAATTTTGGGGGTTGGTGGCAGTATTGGTACTGTAACCACTGGAAAACTCACACTGGTCCATTCGGTCTAGTGTGGCACTGAGATATCACCCACTGTATGGCTGCACTCAGGTTCTCATCCCTACATTAAAGGTGGGAAAAGGTTTGAAATGATTTATCATGGTCTCGCTTTTTTACATCACAAAAAACTGCCATTTTAACAAGGGTGTTTACACTTTTTATATCCACTGTAGGCCTGTCCCTTTCCACTCTGTATTGCTGGTCAAATCACTATTTGCAAAGACCCACCCTTGTAATAAAAAAGCTTTTGTAAGGCACATTTTAACTACGAACCGGAATCTTGAGACATTAGTGGTTTACAGGGATGAGATCCTATTTTGAAGCTGAAGCATAGCATATTTACCCCAACTGATAACCCCATTTAATACAAGCAAACAGATGGTTACATGGTGGTACATAGGAAAGCATGCTTGCTTGGCACCTCAGGGGTGTTCCTGTTACGTATCCCATCCAGGCTGTACCTACAAAGCCTAACTGAAGTCATGTACTGGATAAGCAGTTGAAGTCATTTTTTGCACTACTGATTAAGAACAAATTGCGTTATGGCATCCATTATGCAGTCAGAAGTGAAAGCAGTGCGATAAGGTGCTTTGAATAGCCACATGCAAAATATCACTCATGAAAGTATCCTCAGAGTTTGAGTTTGCTCATACTTATTGTACCCTATTCATGTGCTGTATTACTGCTTCACAGTAAACTGATAATTCTGCTTGAGGTGCAGCCCATAGCTTGATAGAAGAGCCCACTTCTTGAAATGAGCATGGCTTAAATGACCAAAAAAACAAAGAAAAAAAAACCTAATCATCCACAGCTATACCTCGTCATTTCAGTACATAGCACTTTAGGTCTAGGAATAATTAAGGGTTTTTGAATTTTCATGTCAGAATTTCAGTCAAAATTATGCAGAGGGAAAAGGCAGACAAAAACAGGGATATAAATCAGTTCTCTATTCATCTAAGGCTTGTCCCACAGCACAGTACCTCCGTTGCTTACCGTTGTTCAAGGCTACCCTGAGGATTTACGGCGAGTGAGGGGTAAATGACTATGGTTAGATAGTGCTGGAAGTAAATAACTGCAAGCAGCAGTTTGCTCTAACTGGAATACCATATTTTTTGCCAGTGTTGAAGAAAAGATTGCTACAATAAATTTCAGTGAAGCTATAAAAGCTCTTGGAAAATCCAGTTGACTTTATAAAGGAAGAAGCAATAAAATAGAACCATAATTCATTCTTTTTTACTGGACAACAGAAAGCATAGCAATTTAATTAACTTAATATCTCAACTAACATTTCTGCAGGAGGAAAAAAAAACGTAAGAAAGTTCTTGTAACCTTTGGATTATATGGGAACAAAGCCTGAGCTTGATTTTTATAAGAAGGGGCCTCATATAATGAAATATGCATTTGTCTACATGCTCGCAAACATTTCAAAATTATATGTATAATTTATGTACAACAAAAGACTACATTTAAAGACAATTCACAGATAACTAAAATCAAGTTCAAAACCAATATCGTAAAAAATGAAATAAATAAGAAAACTGCCAAATCAATATAAGGCTTCCTTTTTCCTTCATCCAATCCCATGACGTGTAGAGCACAAGGTGGGGCACACCCAAGACAGGATGCCTCCCCACACCAGGGCACATATACTAAGGGGTTGGTTAAAGGTTTAACATACCTCTGTGTGTGGTTTTAGCTAACTTAATCATTCAGTCAGTCTGGATGATAGCCTGGATTGATAAAACTGCATTTCTTGATGACACAAACATTTTGGCTGTATTTCAGTGCTGAACGTTTCACATCAAGCTGTTTGGTGGGAACTACATTTAAAAGTAAATTATGGCAGATCAGTTCCAGATGTGTAAATAGTTTCTTTGGCAGAGTTTGCAAAACACACAAAAATTGGTTAAAATGGTCCTGGGAGGAACTAGCATGGTTGAAGTAAGGGGCAGCATGTCAATGTTTCAGCTACAAAACATGAATTAGCTGGATCAGTGTTGTTTGTATCCTGAGGGAGGGTTTTACGCTTGAAAAACAACTATTCAGGAACATCTTCCTATAATATAATACATTAGCCTCGCAAGTCCCTTGCTTACACATCTGTCAAAATCTGCATTATAAAACAAATTAAATCTTAATTTCAGGAACATGGAATTTGAGGTCATGCTAATATGAAGATACAGTAACACCTAGTCAAGCCAGATTTACAGGACTGTCAGCATATGCACCCTGAGTCAGCATATACCACTGGAAAGAGTTACTTTTTTCTGGCTGAGGTGTAGCGTCTGTTTTCATCTGTTCTCGGTTACCTCACAGTACCACCTCAGCTGCCTAGAAACACATGCAGAAAAATCTCAATATCAGTTTCAATTTTCACCTAAGAAACATATAGTTGACTGATTTTTCCTAAATCTAAGGAAACTTTTCTAGCAGTAATGATCTTGAATAGCAGTATTTCGCCTAAAAGAAATTTGTTTAAATTGAATTTATACAGTGCAATTTCTCCAGATCTCTAAATGAACTTACCTAGCAATGTGCAAGCCATTTATGACAAAGTAGCTGATTTGTAAGTTCTTAAACATAAGTCCACTAATTGAAACAAATATTTTGTATATGCTTTAGTAAAACATTCAAGTATCCCCATTACCTAAATTAAGCCTATGTATGACTTAGATATATTTACAAAATAAATTTAAAAAAATAATAATAATAATTAACAGTTTACTACCCCAATATAGTAATTTAATCTTTAAAACCAACATGGGAATTAAGTGAGATCTTTGTGTGTTTCTCCTACTTCCAGGACTTTTAATGAAGATTTGATTAAATTTCATGTTTGAATACTATGACACATGCAAGACAACACCCCCCCCCCCCCTTTAGAATTTCCCTACGGTGTGACAAAATTTTACATGACCTTTTACACATTTATATATACAGTTTCTCTATTGGCACAGTTGGTTCTTACCTGAGATTGTAATAAAATAATCGTTTCTTTAAAGATTTTTTATAAATACAGGGACAAATTTCAGAGCATCTACAGTCAAACTCATTTTTCTCTTAAGCATATTGTTGTCTTCCAAAGTAACTCCAGAGACAAAACATGCAGTACACCTACATATTTAATTGTGGTGAGCAACCCCTCAGAAATGTTTCGAACAATACTGTGAGCATGTACATAACCACACCACATTTTCTCTTGACAAGAGCACATATTTATTGGTATTGCAGTTTGAATTCTGCTTGCTTAGTCTCGGAGCAAATGGATTTTACAGTATGTGTCTCTGCATTCTGATACACATGGTAATATTATAGATAGACTGACAAGTTTGCCTTTCCTTCACAAAAAAAGTCCATGGTCATATTTACCATAGTTAGACTAATGTTTAATTTATTGAGTGTAGCATGTGATGTCCATATTTATATATCCTTCTTCAAATGCAAGTTATTGCTCTCTATAATGTGACAGATAAAATCTCAAGGTTTGCAACAATTAAAACAAAAAATGACACAGGTTTTTCAGGCAAAATGAAAATAATTTAAAAAGTATAAGTACCTTTTGATTAACTGAAACTACAATCCTTTCTGGTAAATATGATATACATATGGTGATAATCTGTCAGCATATGGACACTCTTTTCATAAATGATTGTCATTTATTAAAACACAGAACACAAAGTTATATTCACAATGTGGGCCAGAATATTCTATTACCAACAGCTGTTCTGAACAATTTTCAGACCTAGATCTTAATAAAACACATTCATGTTTGTCTGTTACCACAAATGGAATCTTATGCTTGAATCAAAAGTTAAGGTTCCTTGTCAATCTTTTTACATTTAGACATTTAGAGATATTCAAATGAGACTAGCAAGTCAGAAATGTTTATGTCATTACCATGGTAATTATCATTGACCCCTCCATGTGAAATGTATTTTGAAATGGTTCTCTTTAAATTGAGTCTACATGGACAAATAGGAAGACTCTCAGCTAAAACCAGTAACCAAAGAGTGAACTGAAAAAAATCAAACCTACAGAACCAAACCTAAAACCAGAAAGTTAGTCCAAGAGCCTAGGCCAAGACCAAAAAAGACAAACCAAAACCCAAGACAGAGCAAGATATGATAATCAGAGGAAGATGGATTGACTGCAAGTGTAAATGGTTATTGAGTGAAACCATTTTGAGGTGGGCGTGGCTGCAGAATGTGCCTGTATCTACTGCAAGTAACTTCTGATAGATAGATTCTGAACCAGATGTAACATATGGTCCCCATACACTCTCATTATTATTATTATTATTTGTTCAATTAAAATAATCACACCACAAATTTTGCTCCATCTCCTTAGAACCAGGAGCAAAACAATCAGCATACCAGTTAACACTTATGATGAGCTGGCTGCATTCCAGGAATAGTACTGTGAACAAGGATCTGAAAAGTAAGATATAATGTTCAAAGCAACACCATAAAGTTGTGGCCAGCAGAGAATATACAATAAATATTTATGGTAGACACTTTTGCATATGAAAACCAATCTGTTGTGCAATGCACTAGATCTATACCAGACCCAGCAGCTTTGCAAGCTGTACAGGAATGATGCATGGATTGCACAGGATGTAGCATGGTAAATTTGCACAGCCCTTTGTATGTATGATATGAAGATCATAACAGAAATCGTTTATTCTTAAAATAATTTTAGAGTCTTTAAAAGTAAACTTAATACAGATATTTTCTGTATTTCTAAACATGCTTTTTCAACATTCCAGATTTTTATTTAGTCTGGCAGTTCAAACTCTGCTACTGAGATAATTTAACATCTGCCAAAAGTTGCCTTTTTAAATACATTTATAAGATGAAAGAAAAAAGGAAAAAAATAAGAGCAGAATTGTGAGATATCAGTCAATCGTTCTGCTCATTTAATTTCTAGCTTTTGCAATTTTAAAAACTCTCATAGTAAGCAATGGTTTAAAGAACCAAATACTTGTGTTTTAAAGCCATGAAAAACCCAATTAAATGTCTTTAATTTTTTGGTTTGTTAATTTTATAAATGGGTTTCTCAGAGGTAGATTTGACCACCACATCGTTAATTTCACTGTGCAGTTTTCCTGAACCTTAACCTTCAGCATGCTTGTAAATACTGTAGTGATGTTCTCTCTGCTGGATTCTTCAGCTGTGAACATTTCCCACAGTTTCTGTATGTGTTGGATAGTACTACCTGAAACCAGGGCAGTATGTTTATAATTACTGGCCTGAATTATTTTTCCTTTATTTTTCTTTTTTTGGTGAAGAATTCATTTACTACTTTGTGTCTCTGCCACTGGAATCTAAAATGTTATTATTAAGTTATAAAGGATTAAAAACATAAAATATATTTGCATATAGAATCTGTCAAAATGCTTCATACATTTGTGGGAAACTGGGTTTGTGCATAATTTTTTATGTATGTTTTACACAAATCCTGTGTAAATACTAACAAACACATTACAATATATAAAACATAAGGAATACCAAAGGAATTTTGGAAAATGTAGAAAATTGCCTCATGTATTCCATAAAAAGTCACAGCAATAACACCGTAGCAATTCACCTTAGCATGTTTTTGTACTATGGGGGAGTACATGGTGGAAACCCCATCATGACATGGGAAAACATGCAAACTCCACATACATGGTGCCATGGAGGAAAGTCAAACTCTGAGCCTAGAGGTGTTAGTACTACGCGATAGTACTAACCACTGCACCACCAGGGCCCCTTGTGTTATGTTGAACATTAAAGATAAGAAGTATTTGAACCATATTTCCAGGCTGGAAACACCCTGGACAGGATACTAGTCCACTACAGAGTGTACTCACACACCTTAGGGCTGCAAGTTTACCTGCGTTTGAACCAACAATATTTTTAGAACATCAACTTGAACGACCACATAATTTCACATATCTCAGCCAGTTAAAATTAATAAATAGATATTCTGATATTCTAAGGTGATAAAAAGGCTTTTTACTGGATAAAATTTCATGACATAATTTGAAATGCACTCTCTGCTTCTGAAATGGGGGGTAATGCTCAGGAGTATGGGTGCCACCTTGTGTTTGCAAGAGAAATCTGTGAGGTCTATAAAACCAAACCAATTCCATAAAGCTTCATAAACATGTACTCTAAAATTATTAGTATTTTGTAAATAATCATGGTACGATTGAAGGAAAATAATCATGAAGCGTCATGATAAAATTATTAGAAGAAGTGTAACTGTTTGTACTTCTGGATGTATTGTTTAGTTCCACCTCCTTATATTTACACATTAACTAAGAACCTGTAAATAATGTTTACGTGTTAGTAACTGCTCACTTGTAACTGGGCTGCTGGTAACGTGACCTTTTGTGCACATCCCACATGCTGTTTGCTGGCAGGATATGACCAAAGTTGTATGGAGGATGGGCAAACCCACGTTAATACGGACATATGGAAACCAGAGCCCTGCCGGATCTGCGTATGTGACAATGGGGCCATCCTCTGTGATGACATTTTCTGTGATGACGTGACCAACTGTGATAAAAAGATCATCCCTGAGGGGGAGTGCTGTCCTGTATGTCAGCTGGACAACAACAGACTAGGTAAAAATGAAATATTACAGTAATAGTGGGTCAGTATGGGCCTGCATTCCATTGTAACAAATTCTACACCTTGCAGAGAAACAGGGGTTATATAATAGGAATATAATACAATAAGAGGTTGCCCCTAATGTTTTGCAAACTCACTGAATAACTGTAACTGTAAATGCTAACAAATAATTTATCTGTTATTTTTTTAGATGGCATAATGTATAAGGTAAGGTGTAATCTTCACGTACAAATACGTATTCCTTTACAGTTTTACAGTATTACAGATGCTCATCAAATGTATACTTTCATGCATATTGCCATTTTATACCTTGGTTCTTAGGGTCAGAAAGGCGAACCTGGAGATATTCCAGTTGTAAGTGTATACTCAGAACTTTTATTATATCAAAATTTTGAAGTTAACGTTTTTCCAAAAGCATAAATATGGTACAAAAATAAAACTCATGCCTGCTTTCTTTAGGTTACAGGTATTAGAGGTCGACCAGGACAAATGGTATGTATTTTTTTAATTGTGTATAGATTTGCTTCCTGTTACTGTAATCTTTCTTTAAAAAAAATTTGTTTTGCTAATAGTTTTAAACGTTATTTGAAGCTTTATGTGAATAATGTATTAATCTGTTTCAGTATGGTGGTCAAATTGATGCTCTCAGGAGACTTCAGGGTAACATAGACAATATGTAACTGGATGAAGTTTGATAAGAGATATCAAAGCCATTGTACACCAAAGCAACTGTATTATCCAAAGGCAAAATGTCATGATTTACAATATTATCGAAATTACAAAAACCTCTCCTACTGCTGTTTCTATGCAATAAGAAATCAGTCACTGTAACATGTGCTATTCAGCAACCAGCTACCCTCTCTTTTTGTAATTAACAATAAACAGGGGCCCCCAGGACCACAAGGATTTAGGGGGGACCGTGGAAATCCAGGAAAGCCAGTATGTGTCTTCATTTCTTTATTATTTTCTATTCATTTATATAAACAATATTTTTTATTTGGGCACATTGTTACATCATTGTGGTCAAGTAATGCAACTCACAGATGAGTCACAAGCCTGAACCCAGAGTGTATCTGAACGCACCCCAAATGATTCATTTATCTCAGATGTTTTCACAGCCATGCTCTGAGTTTTATAATCCCATAAACAGCCCTAGACCAGAGCTGTGTTTCCCAAAACCTACATAATACTGCAGTCTTTGTTACTTCAAAGAGACAGAGAATTCAATATGATGACACCTCATTATGTACCGACATTTTGGTGACTTGGACGTATTGGGGGTGGGGCTAAGGGCAGGCAGACCCTTGGACAGATCAGGACTCTGGGCTAAGTCACCGATGTCATAAAGATCCTAGCATTGCCCCCGACAGCATACATCTTGCATTTGTATGGTAAACATATTCAAATACGAAAGTTTTTTTTAAATCTTTGTGCCTTAAATGTGCTAAAGAAATATAACTATATAAAGGAATATAAAGAAATATAATCTTTTTTGAATTCACTTAGGTTTCGCTTATGTCATTGTTACTTTTCTGTAGTGGTAGATGGGCAAATAATTACCTTGCCAGCAGAGATTATGGCCTGTGCACATTAAACTGGATAAGTGGCTATGAGAAGGATGGATGCTGTGTTTAGCTAAACCATAGTATTTTATTACAATCAGCTGACGGTCTTAGCTTTTGTCCTAGAATTTTGTGATGAGTGTTGACACAGCACAATGTGTCTTCTGCATTTAACCCATATGTGACATCACGACATAGCAAGGGGCAGCTATTTCAGCACCCAGGGAGCAGTGCTTGGGGGTGGTACCTTGCTCAGGGTATCTCAGTGGTGCCTTGCTGGTCGGGGATTCAAACCAGCAGTCTTTCAATTACAACTGTGCTTCCCTAACCACCACTGCCCACAGTCCCAGCTAGGCATTATCTTTGATTGTATAGAGAGAAGAAAAACTCTTATTATAAGTTGTCCATTTTTATCTAGTGATTTATCATAACAGCTATTGGCACAATGACATGGCAGAGTGACAGATTCAGCATTTGTTTTAGGGCCCAAGAGGTCCACCAGGGTACGATGGAGAGCCAGGCGTCCCGGGACAACCAGGAGAACCCGGCCCTTCTGGACACCCAACACACCCCGGAGTGAGCACCACCAGAGCACATGCCTTCATCAGCTCCCACATTGACAGAGTTTCAAACTGTAATATAAGTTCTGTTCATACGAAGTTAAACAATGGATGTTCTTACACATTGTGATTAAATTCTTTCTTGGGTTCTCAGGGACAGTTACTTTCTTTAATGGAGGGAGGTTTTGATGAGAAAACAAGACTTGCAGGAAATTTTGGTATGGTGCCTGGAGGAAGGGTAAGAAGAAAGAACCACAGTCATGAAGGAAGAGCAATTATGTAAGAGATAGCACATTAACTGACACGGTTTCTTGGTAACATACGTTTTCTTCTAATTATACAATGTTTCAATTCAGAAAATGTTTTTTTGGCTTCTACTTTCATTACTTGGTGGAATAACATTACAGTAACATTGTTTTCTGCATTTTAGGGTGAGACTGGAGCCCGAGGCCCTCCTGGGCCATCAGGTCAACCAGTAAGCATTTCTTTTTTGGATTAAAACAATGACTCGATTTAAGCTACCGATGAAGTAATCTTTTGAACCATGGCTGCTGTTGCATTCTCCTTGTGTTTATCTGCTTTAGGGCCCACCAGGAATTCAGGGGGCTCCTGGTGAGGTTGGTGATTCTGGACCAATGGTGAGTTTAGAGTCAATACCACACTAGACAACTTAATTATGCTCAAAACCAAATATGAATGTGCAGCATATACCTTGTATTGTCTATTGAATTAATTAATATGTAAACATTTACATACCTATTTGCTTGGCTTCTTTTACCTTTACTCTTTCTTTTGTAGGGTTCTTTTGGTCAAAGAGGATTAGAGGGTCCTTCAGGAAAACCAGGGCAAGATGTGAGCAAACCACTCTGAAACTGATTTGCTTTTGGTCAAATAAGTGACATTAAGGCTCTATAAAACTGTACAGTTTAATTAAAGGCAGGAATGGGGCAGGATTGTAGAACCCCTCTTTTAATTTCAATTAACTTTACATCATTATTTAGTTCTTATAAAAAAATTAAGTGTAAAAATATAAATCTTGCATTATTGAAAGTCAAGCACTTGAATGCAATGAATGAAGTTATTTACTTAATAATTTTCTCAACTAGGGAGAACCTGGAAAACCAGGAAATGTAGGAGAAGTGGGATTTCCCGGATCACTGGTACTTTTGACTAATTGCCTACATCGTTTTATGTGTTCAAAACTACCAGATAATTAAGTAAACTTTAATGATGCACCCATTTTACAATTAACATGCAACATATAAAGGAAATATTTTGTATTTCAGGGAGCAAGAGGGTTTCCAGGGACACCTGGTCCTCAAGGTTTAAAAGGCCACAGAGTGAGTTTAAAGGACATGATGCCATTGGGACAAACATACATATATCATTAGCAACTGAAATCCAGCTTATATACACATCATCACTTTGCACCATAGTGTTTTAGATTCTTTATAACTATTACCTATAAACTATTCCACAATTTCTGAGTATATATGTTTTCTTGAACATCCAGCTATCCCTATTTTACCTGCTTCTCTTTGTCAGGGTTGTACAGGCAGTCCTCAGGTTACGAACGAGATCCATTCCCTAAGTCTACCTTTATGTCCAATTTGTAGGTAATAATTTAGTGCATCAGTACAAACTAACAATAATTATATAGTAGTAATAAAAGTATCTACATATGGTACTATACTATACCTTTAGCCGACAAACTGTTGAAGCCACACAATGTTTTCACAAAGAGTGTCACAAAGTAGCGAGCATTCATTGCTACAAACCATTGTATTTAACCTAATTTTTTAATATAATTGATTTTATGGTAGTGTGTTTGTAAACAGGAGCCCATTTGTAAGTTGGGCGTTCTTAACCTGGGGATGGCTTGTATTGGTGGGGGGCCAGGCACTTATCCCAGACAGCACAGGACATAGGGATGGGCTACTGGGGTATACCCTGGACACACTCAAACACACACACACACGAAAAAGCAATTTACAGACACCAACTGGCCTAACTGTACTCTACTATGTGCTGCAAAATTCAATTGTCATTATTTGTGACTCATACAACTTAGATACAACGAAATCCGTAAGATGGAGACATTATTTTATTTATGAGAATGAATGTCACTTATTTTATAGGGTCATCAAGGTCCCATAGGTCCTAAAGGTGAAATAGGTCCTGTAGGACCTAAGGTAAGTTCTTCTATTCTATGTAGATATGAACAGCCTCATGTTTTACACTGCCTTAAGCAGTGCATTCATGCTGTATTTATATTCCCTTAGGGAGGATTAGGTCCCACTGGTCCACTGGGCGTACCTGGTGGTCAAGTAAGTAGGTGGTAATAAAAATGGTTGCTATTAAATGAATTGTGAAACATTCACAGTAAAAATACTGGCTAACAACATTTTTGCATCATAGGGACCTAGAGGAATGCCTGGAGAGAGAGGCCGAATAGGTCCGGGAGGAACCCCGGTAATGATTTCCATAGCAACAAATATATGCAATGTATATCTTATTTTTGCAGTGAATTGGCACATTCCATAGTTAGCTAATTCAAGTCAGATCGTATCTCGAAACATAATACTTGAAAAGGAATCTCTTAGGCACTTAAATGTATGTTACAGGGAAGGCGGGGCCCACCTGGTAATGTTGGCAAACCAGGCCCTATGGTAAGAAGAACCTTAAAATCTATATGTACAATGTGAACATATTGAATAATGACAAATGCATACATTGCTGAAATAAATATTATAGAAGTGTCTGTAATTTAAGGGTCCTTTGGGTATGAGTGGTCCATCAGGATTTCCAGGAGCCCCAGGCAAAAAGGTGGGAATTTTTTTTTGTGTATATATTTATACACACACACACACACACACACACACCACACGCTTGTAATTATATCTTTGTGTGGACTTTCCATTCATTTCTATGGGAAACTTTAATCCCAACACAATGACCTTAATCCTTACCCAGCCCTCACCTTAACCATAAGTAACCAAAGAAAATATGAGACTTTTTCATTTTTTGATTGCATTCACAGATCTTTAAGGGGACCTGAAAAATGGTCCCCATAATGTTAGAATAACAGGTTTTTATTACATTGTGGGGGACATTTGGTCCTCACAATGTAATATGAATGTAATCCACACACACACCTACATATTTATAAACTACATGGTTTAGACAACTTACTGTAGTTCAACTTATTTTATTCGCAACTAATTTGTTAAAAAATACTTTTTCAGGTAATCGTGTCGCTGATACAAAGTTACAAAGTTGTCTGTTGTGTGGTAGATCTTGTGAATTTGGCAATGACTATTATGTGTGTGTCCTGCTGCTTCAGGGAGAACCTGGTCCCACTGGGGTTCGAGGACCTGAGGGGCCTCAGGGCCAGAGGGGTGAAAGAGGACATCAGGGCAGAGCTGGTCCAATTGGCCTCCCAGTGTGTAACTGGAATAAATAATATACTTAATGTAATCAAAATATTTATAATTTTTAATGTCACAATTTATATACAGTAGCACTAAATAAACATAATATTTTCAGGGCCCACTTGGGATAGATGGAGGACCAGGAACTAAAGGTCCTGCTGTAAGTGATATGTGGTAATATTAGTCTTATTAAGGAATTGCTATTGAAATCAAAATATAATCAAGCATGACTTGTGTCTTTTACAATGAAGGGAACCATAGGCCCTCAGGGTCAAGGTGGTCTTATCGGGCAACCTGGCCCACCAGGACCACAGGGAAGCACTGGGCAGCCTGGGATAAAAGGCCAGCTGGTAATTAGCATAATTATTAGCATGCTCATTAGCATATTTAGTTAAAGTAAGAAGAACACAAGAGATCGTATGTTTCTGTCATGAAAGTCCGAGTACATGATTTAATACATGTATGCTTATTCTGTTTAGGGTGCTGTTGGTTCCCCTGGTTTCAAAGGAGAAGCTGGACCTAAAGGAGAACCTGTATGAGCTGCTTTAATGATTGTTTTTCATAGATATTTTGATGAGGTGTCTTTTTAAAAAAATAATGTATGTATTCCTTTTACTCTCTAAGGTCTTTTATACAAATAATGAAAATTACGATGATAGTAATAACACAATTAAAACAAGTATTGATAAAAATATTGTCTTCCTTTTCTTAGCATTTTTTTTATTTTCTTCAGTCAGTATTTTGAAAACGATGTTGTACTATAGGGTCCACATGGTGCACAAGGAGCCATTGGGCCTCAAGGTGAAGAAGGGAAACGTGGACCGCGCGGAGATACTGGATCACTGGGCCCACCAGGTCCTGTCGGTGAAAGAGTACGTCAGTCACTGCATACTAATTAAGAACCATCACATTTTTATTGAAAATGTAATTCATATGAATATGCATAGAGGGCAGGTAGAATAACATTCATTACCTCCTATTAAACAGAAATATATTTCTGAGAATGTATTTGTATCACAGGGTGCTCCAGGGAATAGAGGATTCCCTGGTGCAGATGGATTACCAGGTCCTAAGGTATGGTACAATTACATATGTAGATTATAAAAAGTTTCTATAGATGCAAATAATGCAATCCTATCCCCCATGGTTTTTTTGAAAGGGTGCACAAGGTGATCGTGGAGTCTCAGGAACATCTGGTCCAAAAGGTGCCGCAGGAGATCCTGGACGCACAGGAGAACCAGGTCTTCCTGGTGCAAGGGTAAACGTCTGTTCCTTTTCAGTGCTGTTTTGAATGCTGATTTTAAAATGAAGTAGACCTCATAGTTTGTTACCAATTTTTTTAAAGGGCCTTACAGGAACTTCTGGAATCCAGGGTGCAGAGGGAAAGCCGGGTCCAGTGGTATGTTTGGTGACAAGTCCAACCTCCAGTTGCCTGACTTCATTTAAGAAAAAATAGCAATGACAAAAATATCCATTTTCTTTAGGGTGGGATTGGGGAAGATGGGCGACCAGGATCGGCAGGACCCATTGGAACCAGAGGACCACCAGGGTCAATGGGTTTACCAGGACCAAGGGGTTTCAATGCAAGAACTCGTTCTACATGTTAGAATTTATGTTCTTTAGAGAAGAAAGTTATTTCTTGGAGGACATCTAATTTAAGAGGAATGAGAGTCACTACCTTCAGGAAATATTGTGTGCAATTACATTTACGCTGTGTTGTGTTTACATACTAATTATGGTCACACAATTTTCAACAGGGAGACCAGGGAAAACAAGGTGAACAGGGTTTACCGGGACCTCCGGGGCAAAGGGTCAGTATCCATATTCATCACTGTCAGTGACTATTATTGCCCATGCTAAGATGGTCTATCTTGTTAAATGTTGTATATTTAAATAAAATATATTTTGTTAAATGTCCCATTGTAGGGACTTCCAGGGAAAGACGGAGAAGTAGGTCCTGCAGGGTCAGCTGGTCCTCCGGTATGCCTGGAATACTTCACATTTATAAAAAAAAATATATATATATTAGAATTTAAGAAAATAAAAAATATATTGAAATCTAAATAAATGTAAGCAATGGAGAAAACGAGTAAACACAAAGTATAATTTTTATATAAAATGTGAAAGTGGTAGTATAATTATGAAATTCATTATATTCAACAAAATTAACAACTTTTAAAATGTTATAGTTCATAATTGTATAATAAATGTAGCTGAAATGTACACATATCCTGTATATTTGTCATACATAATCCAAAATTACAAATTTATTTTAAATATGGTGCATTTCCAAAGGGTCCGGCAGGTGAACGAGGAGAGCAGGGGACTCCTGGTATTAATGGTTTCCAGGTATCTTCAAACATTTTGTTTTTAGTAGGGTTGCACAATATCACATAACAATATTTGAAATTTTGAGTGGTAACATTACGATATTTATTAAATAAAAAAGGAGTTAAATTGCATGAAATGAGCTATAGCCAAATAGAAACATTTCCTGTAAAAAACAGGCTGTCAGTTAACAATTCCACTTTGTTTAGCTGAAATGATTAAAATATTATCTAAATTTCTTTTAAAGGGTTTACCTGGACCTCCTGGTCCACCTGGAGAGACAGGAAAGCCAGGTGATCAGGTAATTAAAGGCTACACTTTTCCTTTCAAGTATAATGCTGTTCAGTCATAAACAAGTCTAATGTTAATTTGTAATTGTTATTTGGGTTATTTTGTCATGTATAGGGTATTCCTGGTGATGGAGGAGCTATTGGTCAAATTGGTCCTAGGGTATGTTTTGTTTTGTAATAGCGGAAATTCTTTTTTGGTAGTAGAGTGCCTTTTCATTGTTGATAGTGCCATTCATAAAGTTTTGTCTTTAGGGAGAGCGTGGTACTCCAGGAGAGAGGGGCGAGCTTGGAGCTCATGGTCTTCCAGGAGCCAAAGGTATCCTAGGTGCACCAGGACCAGACGGACCTAAGGTAGCATCACTAAAATAAAGTGTCATCATCACACATTAAATGATAGGTTTTCTGCTTTCAAGTTTTGTATATACAGTGCTCTGACAGAGAAAGTTGCTTTTACACATTTAGTCTTTATTGTTGTCCAACAGGGTAGCCCCGGCCCAGCTGGGGCTCTTGGAGACCCAGGACCCCCTGGTCTCCAGGGAATGCCAGGTGATAGAGGTGGCTCTGGTCCCCCAGGTCCTAAAGGGGATAGGGTAAATTTTCATTTTTGGTTTCTGGATGTTCTTGTGTATTTTCCTTTTTTTACTCCTAATATTTTCTGTTTTAATTTGTTTAAGGGTGCTGTTGGCGAGAAAGGATCTGAGGGTATCGCTGGCAATGATGGTGCAAGAGTAAGCCAAAATAATTTACAAGATATAGACAGATGCAGGTGATTATATTATTATTGACTTTATGTATTTTTGTATCATGTTAGGGGCTTCCTGGTCAACTTGGGCCGTCTGGACCACCTGGACCTAGTGGTGGGAAGGTAAAACTTTTATTATGAATTTAATTAAAGTAATTAGTAGTTATTAAAACAGTATTTGTGTTTGCTGTAATTTAATTGAAGGGAGAACCTGGGCCTCGTGGTGCAGCTGGACCTCATGGATCAAGAGCAGGTCCTGTAAGTCAGCAAGTCATATAATCCAATGCAAAGGTCACCTGACCCTGCAGTTAGGAATATGCCAAAAAGTCATAGACTATAAACAAATGATTCCATATTTCATTACATTTCCATCCATCCATCCGTCCATCTATCCACATTTCAATCTTACACAAATTCCTTTAATTCTAGGGATCACGTGGAGAACCTGGTCCTACAGGTCCTGTTGGATTTGTTGGGCCTCCTGTAAGTTGGTGTATCAGTACTTAATCCTTACTAAGTAATAAAACATATCAATAACAGCTAACATGTTATGATAGTAGGGCTGATGCTCTGTTGTATTTTGTTCTCCCCTCAGGGTCCAGATGGGCAACCTGGTGTCAAAGGTGACACAGGAGAACCTGGCCAAAAGGGTGATGCTGGGTCTCCAGGTCCCCAAGGGTTGACTGGATCCCCAGGACCTCCTGTTAGTAGCTCGATCAACCCATCCATCAATCAGTTTTTCATAGCTATAGTTGGTATGGTTCTGGAAGAGACTGACAAAGAATACCTGAAACTGGAAACCAAACCATGACACGCATTTATATGAGCACATACCAGAAACAACTTAGGGCACTTCTCCACCGCACCAGGTGCCATACTTTTGGTATGGTACTTTTGGTACTTTCCTTTTTCTATTGACTTCCAGTCGAGTACCAAAAGTTCCAGTACCCAGTGCCAAAACAACTGGGGTACTATTTTTTTACTTTGCAGTAGGACTTGAAATACTTTGTTGCCGATTGGTTATGCAAATACACTGCCTCTGAAACACACTACAATGGCCATTTTGAAAAAAAAGTTGCGAACTCCAACGATAAACAAACTAAAAATGATAAAAGTAATAATAATGGATGCGAGGATAAATGAAGAAACTCATATTTACATTGCAATTTGGTCGGAAGCACAGATACAACAAGATCAGGATGGCATTACAAGAAATAAAGTATTTTGTATAATATAGCTACTAGGACAGTACTGTATTGGAATTCTTTCAAAATAGATGCATTTATAAAGGAAAGAATGAGTTCAACATAAATTTCTCACAAACCCATTTAGGAGTGCTTTAAACAGCAAGGATGAAAATGATTATGATTTTCTCTGAAAACATGCAATACTCATGCAAAAGCAGTAGAGGTTTAAACTAATTTTTAGTGGTGGTAATTGATTAAAAAATGAATTCAGTTAATCACAATAATAGGCTGTGATTAATCATAAACTAGTATTTGCTTGTATTTTTTGGATGATAAAACAAATACACATGTGGTCTTGGAACAAAGTAATGCTTGGCAAATTGGTAAGAGGAATCACATGATTTTTTGATATACCATCTTGGTTTTAATAGCTGAAACCATTCAGTTGCATGGTTCCAAATGTGTAAGTCGCTAACGTAATTAGCAACTATGCTTTTGGGAAACGTTCCCCAGCTCTGCTTTTGTTTTTTAATTTTTCATTGCAACTCCATTCCTTCCATTTCTGAATGAACAGAGAACATGTACGTTGCATCATTCATGTGAGGTATAGTGTTTTAGTGCAAAAGTTAACATTTAATGTAAAATATCTTATTTTCAGCAAATACAATCCATGCTATTTTAAGCTATTTTACAAGTATTTTGGGAAACACAATAAGTTAAAAAAAACGATTGTGTTGTAGTGTTATACTTGCAAAAAAGTCTCATAAAGATAGTGAAAGAACAACCCAGTTACCAACAGTTTGCATATTTTTTCTTTTTAGTTAAAGACAAGTTTTTAGCGATCAAAATTATAAATCAAGTAACATTTTCTAATTTACAAAGTTTCTGCTTATCATGAATTGACAGTTAGCCATGAATTGTACAAATGTATTTTTTACCCTCTCTTATCGCAAAATAAAAGCTTGAAGCTCCTCAGATAGTGTAAACAGAACCCAGACATCTGCTCTTGTTTATGGGCAATTTCACTTGTTTTCCTGAACCAGTGACAACTGTTGGATTATCATGTCATTATAAAAGAATAGCGCTATTTGCAAATGGGTGAGGGATCTGTGCTGCTTCATGACTCGACAATTGTATCACTGACTGTTCTTTTTATTTTCCTTACAAAGCTCTAAAAATATATTTTGTCTCTACCTATATATATATATAACCCCCCCTGCACTATAACATGCGTACAGATTTGAGTGTATGAAAAACCCTGATCTAGTCCAGCTGACTAGCGATGTGAGAATTGCATGTGCATAACATGCAATGCTGAAATTAGTTTCACACTTCGTCTGGCCAGCCCTATAATATACAATAGCCATTCATATTCAATAACCATTGTGATGTTATTCGGCCCCAGCATCAGATTTTATGCCACTGGAAAATCAGCATCTTAAAGTACCGTACTTTTGGTACCCTCTAGAAGTACCAAAACTATGGTACCTGGTGTGGCCTTTAGAGACAGCAGTTCATCTTAACTGGTCGTTTTTGTGCTGCAGGAGGAATAAAATGGGCTACTTGGAGGAAACCCATGCAAACATTGGGAGCACATGCAAGCTCACACAGAATCAAACTCACGACCCTGTGCTACCCACTGAGTCATCATACTTCTAATAGTATTGAATATTTAAACTATTAAAATGATATGCTAAGTATGACTTATTCTCTTGGTATTTTTTCCATAGGGACCAGTTGGTGTTGCTGGACTGAAGGGTGGTAGAGGAACACAAGGAGCACCAGTAAGAATAGTGTGATTTATTTGCCTTTGTATCTCATCTTGCCCTGAAATTATATATACTGTATTTATTTTCTGGCTCTTTTAGGGTCCAACTGGTTTTCCTGGATCTCCTGGAAGAATTGGTCCAGCCGGAGGAGTTGTACGTTTCGGTTACAAAAAAACTATCTGGAAAACCTTGGAATAAAGCCTTATGTAGCAAATTTCTAATAACATTACATGCCTTCATATCAATATCATACTAGGGTCCAGTGGGGCAGCCAGGACCTCTTGGTCCACCAGGGAAGCCAGGCCCAGCAGGACTTCGTGGTGACCATGGACCCCCAGGACGTCAAGGAGAACATGGCCCACCTGGGCCAGCAGGAAGCCCAGGCGATAAAGGAGATGGAGGGGAAGATGGACCTATAGTAAGCACTGAATCATAATTCACAGGTAAGATGTTGATTGTTGCACGATAAAGAAATGTTTCAGTAATATTCCATTTAATAATGTTTTATCAGGGACCTGATGGCCCACCTGGTCCAGCTGGAACCACAGGGCAGAGAGGAATTGTGGGTCTTCCCGGACAGAGGGGAGAACGAGGAATGGCAGGGCTTCCAGGTCCAGCAGTATGTATCATCTATTCTCTACATAGTTTTTAATTATAATAATACCAAGCAAACATGAAAATATACCAGTCACTTTTGGGTGTTCCTATATTAGTTTCCTATTTAGAAATAATATTCATAAACATATTTTTAGTCTTACCGTTTAGTTTGTTTGTTTGTTTGCTTGTTTTTAGGGGCCTCCTGGAAAACAAGGAGCTTCCGGACCTCATGGAGATAAAGGTCCCCCTGGGCCAGTTGGTTTGCCGGGTGCAAATGGACCTCGGGGAGACCCTGGTGCAGAAGTAAAGTTTCATTTCTTCTTTTGAGAGATTTTGCTTAAGCCAACAAACCCAAGAGACCACATGTTTTTTTTTTTTACATATTGCTAACCAATATGCGTTCTAATAAAGCAATCCCACTCCTTCTTGATTTTAATACCTTATGGTTCCTGTACATCATCTAGGGTCTTGTTGGGGCTGATGGCCTTCCAGGCAAAGAGGGAATAATAGGCGCCCATGTAAGTATGTTTTGTTAGATGTGCTGTATTGTGTCACTCCTATAGAAGTGTGAAGTATTTTAATTTAAGTTTTAAGTGCCAAACTGTGGGTTGATATTTAAATACAGGGAGATAGAGGGAATCCAGGTCCTGAAGGAGTTGCTGGTGCTCAAGGGGCACCTGGCTCTCCTGGTCCAGTTGGTGTTCTTGGTGAACCTGGGAAAAGAGGCGCGACGGTATGTTAATATTGCAAATGGTGTGCACATATTATGCGTACCATTACTATACACACAGTTACTATGCATATACAGCTACATTAGACGAACAGTTATATCATTAGTCCAAACCAATATCACATCATGAACTCATCTTCAAACGGCTTCTCCTGGTGGGTGTCGTGGTGACAGCATGGCACGCAGGTAAGAATAGACTTCTTTTAAAATGACTACAGACTCTAGTTAGTTCTGGGGGATTATCAGACATGTCCAGGCCAGCTGGTGTGGTATCTATCCAAAATAGCTCCACTGGAAGCTGACCAGGTGGCAGTCTTATAAGATATCCATAGACAAGTGCCCCACCCCTGAATAAAGCATTACACTTTTTCTATGACTGTGGCCTGGCCTTGGAGTGCATCCTGGAGATCCTACATCAATGCTTCTCAACCAAGCCCTTGGAGACCCCCATACACTCTCATTTTTCTGCTCCCTGGTATATGTGTCTTGGGAGCTGGATGGAAACAAAAATGTGAACATTTCTAGACATCCTTCCAGCCATAGCTGTGCCTTGATTTCCTATTCATGAAAATCACACTCTTTCCAGAGGCAGAAACGACACTTCCCAGATTCATAGGGACCAAAGAGCACACGGCAGTGGCCTTATATTAGCAAAGCACCTCCTACATTACATGTCAGGGCACGCAGTCATAAGCCTTTTCCACATTAACATAGCACATGTAGACTCTGTTTGTGTACCGGATTATGCTTGTGATATGCCGAGTTGTAATATGTCTTGCATGCATTTCTTACTCCTGATGTTTCTTGACAGGGCTCAAGAGGACCTATGGGGCCTTCTGGTAGAGCAGGAAAGCGAGGATTAATAGTAAGATTTTGACCTCTGTAAGATGCCAGAGGATGTAGATGTCCCAGGGTAGGACTAAGTCAGGTGACAAACACATTCATTTAGTTCATTGCTGCCTTTTTTCATTAATTCTTCCACACTACAGTAAACATAATAAAACCCCTGATGCCCAACGCCACAATGTAGCCCTTCTGCAAACAGACGTCAGTAACCTTTTGTGGGTGCTGTCGCCAAGACTGCTGTCCTCTCTTCTTCATCCTCCCCACATAATTTGTTAAATAGGAAAGTCGGAAAAACAATAATACAGTACACAATATTAAAAATAATTAAACATTACTATTAAAAGTAACTACATATGGTACTGTAATCTACCTCAAGCCAACAAACACTGAAGTCGCCCAGTGTTTTCACGAGCGTCACGAAGTAGTGCACTGTTATGAACCATTGTATTTAACCCATTTTTTTTTTGTAATATAATAGGCTTTATGGCTGTATGTTCGGAAGTTAGTTTGTAAGTCAGACATTCTTAACTTGGGGACTGCCTGTATATCTTTGCTACTTTCAGACATCAAACTTTGACAAAAAGTAGTTTAATTTAACTTAGCTAATGGCCGTTGTATTTATAATGTGTAATGACAGGGACCTCAAGGACCAAGAGGTGAAAAGGGTGATATTGGTGATCATGGAGAAAGGGGACAAAAAGGCCACAGAGGCTTCACTGGATTACAGGGTTTACCTGGACCACCGGTAAGTAAAACCCCATTAATAATTCTGAATGTCTGGAAAGATTTCATGAGTATAGAGATGCTATCTAAAATATGTCATCATCATACGTTTTGTTTTTAGGGTAGAACTGGGGATCAAGGACTTCCAGGGATCATTGGACCTCAAGGATTAAGAGTAGTTCTTAACATTAACAATCATTGTATACCATTGGCAATATAATGCAAGTTTTTCAGCTTTTCAAATGAATTGTAACATTTACATTTTAGGGACCTCCTGGGCCAGTTGGGCCCCCGGGGAAAGAGGGAAACAATGGGCATCGAGGGCCATTGGGGCCACCAGGGACACGTGGACTCACCGGTGAAATTGGTCCTGAAGTAAGTCAAAACCAATATTAAAGTCAAGAAATGTCACTAATAGAGATGACTGGAAAGATAAGAACTTTGATTAGGAATTGTAATTTATAATTATGAAATTCCCTGGAAACACAAAATATATAAAAGTGATATGACAGTCTACATTTGCATCCAACATTGATGGGTCCTGGCCACCCAACATCCTGTCAGCGGTCCAGAGGTTTTCCCTCCTCGGACTGCTCTCAGTAGGTACTCACAAGGACTGAGTGTGAGCACCCCACACGTATTGCCATTTATGAGATGCTCTGACCCAGTTGGCCAGTCATAATTATTTTGCTCTTGTCAACGTCACTCAGGTCTTTATCCCTGCCTATTTTTTCTGCATTCAACATGGTGATTATGAATACCAAATGTTGGCCTATTATCTAATGTATCTCAGACCTTGAAATTTTCCTAGATAATCAACATTTTTCACTCTACTAGGGGGTAGCCATGATGTTTTGGGTCATCAGCATGATTATGTGGATTGCAGTCATATCAGCTGTTTTTGTTTTATTGGTAGGGACCTCCTGGAGATCCTGGCCCTCCTGGTCCTCCGGGTGCCCCTGGACGTCCCACAGCAGCAATGGATGATATATTTGGAGACCAGAATGAGTACAATATTGGCACCCCACCCCCTGAATTCAGCAAAGATGAGGCACTTCCAATCAACAACTCATCGGGCCTTCTGCAGCCAGACCCTGGAGTTCATGCTACGTTGAAATCACTTAGCAGCCAAATAGAAAACATGCGCAGTCCTGATGGCAGCAAAAAGCATCCTGCAAGAACTTGTGAGGATTTAAAACAATGCTATCCACTAAAGAAGAGTGGTGAGTTTGTGTCAATACAAATGGATGGAACTTTTAAGTGGATATCTGCTTGTCATGTACATTTCCTTGAATCTGTTTATCTGTTACAGGTGAATACTGGGTAGATCCCAACCAAGGGAGTGCAGAGGATGCTATTATGGTACATTGTAATATGGAGACAGGGGAGACTTGCATCTCGGCAAATCCATCAAGCATACCACGCAAAACATGGTGGACCTCATCAGATGCTGCCGGAGGCAAACCTATTTGGTTTGGTTCTACTATTAATCGGGGCTCCCAGGTAAGGTCTTGCATACAGAAGTTTTATAGTGAAAATGTAATTGATTAGAAGCCAGTTTCATAATTGCGCTACAGATGATGAATTAATATCTTCTTATTAGCTGGAATAATCTCATACAATATCAAGTATTCTACATTATCTCTGGATTCCCAGAAGAATGGCATCAGTTTAATCAATTAAGTTACCTGTAATGTTTAATGCATTATTTTAAATATAAATATGCATATTTATATATGTACACACACACACAATAATAAAATTAAGAGACCACAGCACTCAACACAATTTTTTGTTTCAGTCATTTCTCAATTTATGGGTGTGCATCTGTGAATAATACATAGTTTTTTTGCAAACTGCAGCCTGGCTCTTCCCCATTTCTCATTAATGAAGGGCTTTATGGAACTTCAGTCCTACTTCTAGGATCCTGATACAAACTGTCCTAGCAGTGCACTTCACACCTGCACTTAATGCTTCCCATTTCTTTTGAAGGTCACTTGATGTCGCTTGATGTACGATTTATGAGAAACTGTCGGATCAGTTAATGGTCATCTCTGGCATTAGAATGTCACTGCCGCCCTTTACCTGGCTGGTTTCTGGGCGTTTCCAGTGTCCCCTGCTTCACCTTATCCTTGTGTACTGCTGTCTTAGAAACTCTGGAAGTGTAGCCTCCTGCCTGCAGAACCATGATCAAACAAGAATTTTAAAATGCAGATTTGTTTCTAAATATAGAGTGGTCTTTTTTTCCACGACTGTAATATATATATATATATATATATATATATATATATATATATATAGAGAGAGAGAGAGAGAGAGAGAGAGAGAGAGAGAGGGAGAGAGAGCAGCTGGTTGTGTACATGTAATATATAACTGTTTAACCCTTGTTAATTGACAGTTTACCTATGGAAACAAAGATCAGGCACCAAACACTGTCACTGTCCAAATGACGTTTATTCGCCTACTATCCAAAGAGGCATCTCAGATAATCACCTACCACTGCAAAAACAGTGTGGCATACAAAGATGAGAAGACAGGGAATTTGAAAAAAGCCCTCATCCTCAAGTCGGCAAATGACATAGAATTAAAAGCAGAGGGGAACAATCGCTTCCAGTACACTGTAACAGAGGATAGCTGCACAGTAAGTAAAAAAATGTGAATCATTTACTAATAGAAAATGTAATGTTATTGGGCCAAGCAAATATGTACTTGTGAAATCCCCTTCACTTTACAGGCAGCAGCTGGTTTCTGGGGAAAGACTGTGTTTGAGTATAGGACGCAGCAAACTGCAAGGCTCCCTGTTGTGGATATAGCCCCCGTGGATGTTGGTGGCCCAGATCAAGAATTTGGCATTGACATTGGACCTGTTTGCTTTTTGTAAATAAAATAATAAAAATTATGGACAACATGAACATGTTTGTTTTGTAATGAAACCTGATACCTTTTAACTACTGCTGAGAACTTCACCCCTCATATTCACAGTACTGTGGACTGGTACACACCCCATCATCTACAAGGAAAATATTTATTCCGGTGAATAACAAAGCGAGCAATTTGCTGAATTTTAGCACAGGTTGAACCAAGAAAACAATCATGCCAGAGGGTCGCATTGTAGAACTATTGTGAATGTTAGGGTCCTGGAAAAAAAACATGTATTTCATTTTTCTAATAAAACTTAAAGATGAGCAGTTTATGTAATGTGTGTGAAATGTTTATTATGAACTATGCAAAAGAAGGGAAAAGCATGGGGTCATGGCTCTGTGGGCTAGAACAAGGTTGAAAGGTTCAAGTTCCCCAGACTGATCATATCACTCTTTTTAACCCTGAAAACTGCTCCAAGGCCACTATAGGACCTCATGTTTCACCTGTGGAGTAAAATTTAATTTGTGGAAACTACTTGTAAAAACTGCTAATAAATAATAACCATTATTATTTAAAAAAATGCAAAAAAGACATTTAACAAAAATCAGATTGAGTAACGATAGAATATGCCTATGAATAATATAGATGGCTCCATCTGCTGTAGCACTAAAGCTATTACACTGACTTTTTTAGTTTAAACCTATCACTGCCTTGGACAATGTTATCTAGAATGTAAGAGGTCCTCACAACATATATACACAACCTTATTTATGGTATAGGGTTCTCAGGACAGAAAACAACACACTCAAAGTTAGAATTTTTTTTTACCCTACAAATAGTCATTGAGACCAGGGGCCTTTTTACACGTGTTTTTGACTCAATAAAAATCACCATAATATCACAATTGTTATACACTTTTTGTTACATGTTTTTCCACATGTTGATTATTAATGACCAAATAACCTTTTTCATACAGTTTCAGATCTACAGCGCTTGCTTGTGGTCCTAACGCTTACTTGTGAAAATGCTCTGTTGGGAAGTCTAGGCAGGTTGTTTTTTTTGTTATTTATTTAAGAACATAAGAACATAAGAAATTTACAAACGAGAGGAGGCCATTCGGCCCATCAAGCTCGTTTGGGGAGAACTTAGCTAATAGCTCAGAGTTGTTAAAATCTTATCTAGCTCTGATTTAAAGGAACCCATGGTTTTAGCTTCCACTACAATAGCAGGAAGACTATTCCATACTCTGACTACACGCTGTGTAGTCAGAGCAAGTGCTTCCTCAAATTTGTTTTAAAATGTTCTCCCGCTAATTTCCACTTATGGCCACGAGTTCTAGTATTTAGACTAATATTGAAATAGTCATTTGGCTGATTTATGTTTAAATTCTCTTTTGACTTCCAGTTCAGAAGGATTGTTTTCTTAGCAACGGTTAGTACTGTGAGAA